CCTGCTGTGCAATCAGGCAGTTACACATTACTCTGACCTGACAAATCAGAGCCCGAGGCACTTTACCTTCTTTGTACGCCTTGATTATCTCTTTGATCTGAGCTTTTGTCCGGGATGCCAGGATCTCTATGATAACACCTTCACTTGTTCCTGCACCCTTTAATAGAAAACACAGTGGAGAAATAAAGGTGGAGAAAGGCATCTAGTCATGGAGTGTAATTTATTGCTAGAGAAGTATGGTCAAGCGAGGAGTCGGAGAGCAGCAAAGTGTTAGGCTGTATGCTGAGCTGTGAGAAACTGTCAGGATGAAAGCTGGAGACACAAAGCACATTTGGTTTGAACCTGGTTTCTTTTACTGAGGTGCCTAATTCGTAAAGGATGATTTTATATAAGACTGCACTTCTGCAATACAGTTCTGGACCTGGATAATTGATGACAGACCGTGTTAGAGGGATCTGAGGAGACTAATGCTTGCCCCGTCAGTCCATCTTTGTACCATTTTAATAGACCTCTCTGCATCTGAAACTTGAAAAGGTACTGTATCAATAGGTAGGATCCCAGCCAACCCCAGCCTGGCCCTTGCACCACCATTTCTTCATTTCTTAAAGGTTTCACGTTTCAGGTGGGGCATCAGGGCATCAGCTTTGTGTCATTGAGCTCCATCCACGAAAGGCACTGCAGAAAGCAGTGAAGAGATGTTTAACTGAAAACCGTCATCTGTGGATGTTCATTCCTTGCCAAAGCTAAGCTTAGTTTTGCTGTTGCCTTCCCCAGGCTCTATGAGACATGTACGTACAGAAACTCTCATACACCCCTAAATATTAAAGCAGCATTTTCCACCATGCGTTATGCATTAATAGCATAATTAACTATTTCTCATAGGCTACTGCTAATAACAAACTTAATCATGTAACAGTCCAGTTACTACCACTTGCGTTAATAAGCACAGTTACAGGAAATTAACATTGGATCCGTGCTGCTACTTAAATGTCAGCATGCAATTCACTTACCTTCATGGCATCATGGAGCTCCTTGGCATCATACTTGAATGGGGAGTACATGAGAGCTACAATGAGCCTCTCAAAGTCGCCACTCAGTTCAGACCTCAGGCTTTCAATCAGATCCTGTTAAACATGCACCACACAGTTACATAAAAAGCCTCAGTGGATCTCTTTACTGCCTAGCACTGTTAACATCCCCGTGGCCTACAGCAATGAAGCTGAACGACAATATTGTGTTGATCGTTTATTAGAAAAGGTCCTGGGACTGAAAAAGGCACCTAACTCCAAAAAGGGATTTGTCTAAGTCCTCCCACATTCCCTGTTGTCCCATTACTCAAGTACTAATTAATTCTGCAGCAGAGCAGGGAAGATAACACTTCCTCCACCCTGCTTTACTCAGCCAGCAGAACCCGGCAGCTGAAGGCCTTGAATTGAGCAAGGGATGTAGCTTCAGACAGAGCCAACTCCCAAAGCCTGCATATAAACGTGCACCCAAGACTTTTGCAGAATCAGGCATGCAGTCTGTTTGAAGATAGACTTCAAACTTTCCTTTCACTATAATGCAGGTTTTTTAGGGTATGAGTCACCATGTTTTAGTGGGATGCAAGCACTCTATTCATTGTCCCATACTCGCCTCCCCCCAACATTTGCTTCCCTTTCTTAGGCCCTTGCATGGCAGTCCCCCTTCCAGCAAGGGTCATTGGAGACTCCTGTTTCTATGCTGACCCATGAGCCTATATTGCTCTTTCCCAATACATTTCCTTCTTTCCCCCTCTTTAACTGTGACTCTCAGACAACTGGCTCCAGAGTACGGCTGGTGGAAGAATTTTCCCGATAGAAGTAAGATTTTATCAAAGACAGAAAGATAGCCACAGAAAAACATTGTTGTCAATAACAGCAGTTCATTTTCATTTTCAGAATTTCCAAACAAATGTACTTAGTCTTTAAATTGAACTTTCTTTGACATTTAAAAGGGCCCCAAACCAAACCAATATTTTACTCAAAATGCCACTTAGAAAGGTATCAATTTTTGTTATAGCTTTGAAAGCAATAAGAAGTTACACTTTAAGTTAAAATAGATTTTAAAAAAATATTGCTGGTCAAAATGTATTTTACCAAAAAAATTACAATCTTTGGGGGAAAACCAGTTTTTCTGACCAAAAATTAATTTCACACATTCACCCCAGGCTTTATAAATAAATATTAATCTACTTATTTGCATAAGACCTGCATATTGTTTACACCATGCTTGCAGGATGAACTGTACACCCATTTACTACATTCTGCATGCAGTGAAACAGTGACTGAATATGGCTTTGTTTTGGAAGAACCTTTCCAAACTGTCCTTTGAAGGATTTGGCAATCTGTTGACGCTGCATATTGCTCCTCTTGGTTAAGACATCAATTATAGCTTGTTCATCAGTCCCTGTGGAGAGCAACAATAAGCCATAAACACAGTGCACAGAATAAGTTGAGACTAGTCCAAAATCCCAGATCACGTATTCAGACAACCTTCCTAGTTCATTGCCTTCAAAATGTAGAAGTTTAAGTATGTATCGAGGAAACTTTAATTTCTAATTTTCCACATTAAAAAATGGTACGTCTGGCTGCAATTTTCTTAAGGAATGGCTTTCAACTGAGCAGTTATAAGCAGAACATAGAATTTGCACATGTGGTTGGAGTAAACTCACCAAGCCCTTTCATGGCCTTGTACAGAGTCTGAGCATCAGGTGTGGGGTCAAAGTTTAAAGCACCTGTCACGGACTTGCCCTCTGCTTCGCTCTGAAAGAAGAAGAAAAATACGGGACTTTTCACCACTGCTTTTCATCAGCTGAAGAAAAAGTATTTTGGAAAGTAAATTAGTATTATTCATTGCCTACACACGGGGAAGGCACAGAAGAGTGGAGGGGTTGGTTCAAAGCGTCCCAGCAGAGCTCCAAAGGGAACACAAGTTTCCTGCCTCCAACTGCCTCTACCAGCCTTCGGCGCCTGGCAGAAACATGAAGTGCAACGCGCGACTGACACTGCTGCAACAGTCATTAGGTGCAGGAATCTGGTAGAAAAAGCTGAGTAGGCTGGACTTTCTTATTGACCTGCTACATACAATACCTCATAATATGTATGCTGTCGTATTACACTGCTATTAGGAACGGCATTTCTTGGTGGTTTGGTGCAGGGTAGTTTTTACCCATAGTTTTTTGATTTCATGGAATAGTCATGCTCTCACAGACCATTTTTCTAGGTAGCAGCTTTATTCTCCTGCTGCTGCTTCACTTGTGCACAGCTGATTTCAAGACAGAAGTATCTCCGCTGGAAGGATTTGGGTCGAGAGACTACTTTGAAGGAACAGATCCATCTGGAGAAGTGCAGGTTTGATGTTCTTCCCTGAACCAAGGGCCAACTACACAGGAATCCTCCAGACAGACCCCTAAGGCACTGCCAGTGCTAGAGTCCCAGGCCAGAAAGACACGCTGAGATTTATTCCAGTCACCACAAGGTAGTGGAGCCATCAACCAGGACCCAGGCTTAAGAGCTTGAATTTAACAAAAGTTGTTAGTCAAGGGACTGGCTTGAATATATTGACGCATCTCTAGCAATAAGGTCCTATCAACAGGGAAGTACCTGAGTGGTTAGTCAGAGAGAGTCATCACCAGTTTATTTCAATAATGGACAGAGTTTTCTCTTCCTTAGCAGCAGAGATATTTAAGTTGCCCCAGTAAACTACTGTATTGTCATAGATTTACTTGCAGGGATATGATTAATATTGAACTAATGATATCAGTATGACTTGATGGATTTTTCAATGGGGCTGGCCTCAGAGCTAGATAAAAAGCACCTTCAAATCAGAGCTTACAGACCAGAAGGAATCACTATCTGACTTGCATAACACAGACCAGCAAGTGCCACCCAGCAGCCTCCTGCTATGGCGCAAATCCCTTCTGCTCTTATCTCCTGTGCTAAAGAGGGCTCTACCCCTCTTCTCCTAGAGTCTCATCCAAGTTGTCTCCAGACCAAATGCCTTCAAGCGATCCTTGCCAGGCAGAAAAGCTTGTGGAAATTCCCTTCAGGACCTGCATTCCTGGTTTTTAACGAGAGGCTGCAAGATTAATAGCTGCATGCTCAGGAGAGCCTGTCAACAAATGCCAGGTTTAGCCTAGCGCCACAGCTGAAGCATACCCACACTGTGCAGCGCAGATGCTCGCAAACTAGCTCAGGTGTCCTTGTTGAGTGCTTTACTGGTAGATACAGCTTGCACATGTTTGCATGCTGGCCCCTTTGCCAGCCAAGCTCTGGGAGCAGTGACAAACAAGCAAGAGGCAATGATGAGTATCAAGAGAGGTAGTATGTTCATCAGTCAGGAAGATCTGGAAGAGGTCTTCAGTTTGCAGAAGTCTGCTTTACAGCCAGCACAGAGACAGACTCTTGTGCTACCACACCCTGCTCCCAGCAGGGAGAGCAGCTGCAGAGTGACGGTATCAACAGGGAACTTCTCACTAGATGCAGCTTTGAGTCCCAATAACTACCGAGCAGCAAATCTAAGGCTGTGGCGAAGCTGTCACTGCAGAAAGAGCAATGACAGACTAAAGCATTGCCACCCCCAAAGGTTTGTCATCAGTCTGGAACAGTCTGGAGGTTTGGCTGAGCTGGTAGGACCATTGCAAGCGCTCCTTTTCTGCTCCCCTTTGAAGTCAGCCAGCACCACCACAACTGCCCTGGAAAGCAGATTACACTCAACCATCTGATTTGGCTCTGAAAAAGATGGACAAACCTCTCTACCTGCATACAAGGGCTCATATGAAAAAAACACGTTGGACCTGTGCCTGGTGACTCAGAGAAAGAGGGAGTGCAAAGCTGAGCTTTCATTTGGAGGCAGAGGAAACAACTTAAACAATAGTCTTTTTTTTTTTGGTACTAATTCCAATAAACATTTACAGCCCATCCTGGCTCAAGTAGCGCACTCATGACTCACTCATACACCTCATTCTCTGTGTATTTAATTGTTCCAGCACAGGTACAATCACAACAGGTTTCCAGAGTAACCCTGTTCAGTTTGGTCTTGTTTCCCAGATTAATTGATCCTACAATTACCTAACTGAAACTAGGCATCTGTGTAACACTCATGTGAAGATGAATAATTGGCACGAAAGCAATGGAATCAGTGTTCCTTACAGCTGATGCTCTGAGAAGTTTTTTACCTATAAATGAAGGGGAAGGGAATTAAAAGTTTTTCTACTAAAATATTTTCAAACCTAAGCAGTAGTTTATTGAAAAGCTGGCATTTGGGGACAGGTGGGGTTACTGGTTTTTTTCAGTGGAATGTTTCTGAAAAAGTTTCACATTTTTTCACACTGTTGCTTTTGAACTCCATTTTTTATGAAGAGTTTGGAAAACCAAAACAATTTTCTACCATCCTTTCTTTGCCCTCTCACCTTCTCTTCATGCCTCCACCCCCTACAACACCAACAAGTAAAAGATCATTGGAGCTTTCAAGGGCTTTTCTCACTCTAAGTTTTCAAAAGATTTCCAGCTTGGGGTGGGGTGGAACAGATCAGCAGAAAGGGAAAAAATAGAGTCAGAGCTACTCCAATCTTTGGGAAAAGTCTGTTTTACTGTACTAAACTTCCAAAAGGAAATAGGGAGGCAGAGGGAGATCAGCAGAAAGGAAGGTTACAGTTTTAATCTTTCTGGGGGAAAAAACCCCATGCTATGTTCCGAGATCAGGAAAGCTGCCTATCTAAAGGAAAGTAGGAATTAGCTGGGTATTCCCCAACCCCCAAGGTGTTTTTTTGTTTTGTTTTGTTTCTCCAGGTCCCACCCCTCTGTTGCAAAATCGTAGCTGAGGACCTGAAAAATGGTCACGTCCATGCAAAGTGGTTTCTCACTCCTTGATGACCTATTGCACCTGAGGTAATATAATACACTGCAAGACAGCTCTCCTACGCTTCCCGGGCACCTTTGCTGGCACGTGGCAGGAGAGGCCCCTTTCAGCCCCTGCTCAGCTCGCCCTTTGCACAGGCTGCTGAAACATGAAGCCTTCTTCACAGCAACGCGGAGCGGGGACACAAATCTTTCCAAAGATGACACAAAAGCAGTCAAGAGAAAGCCTGTGCGCTACCAGCAGTGGTGCCGGGCAGGGGACTGGGCTGGGGAAGAAGAGTTCTCTACCAGTATTCCTCCCTTGCATGTCTCCAGCAGGTCTCTTCCAGGCTGCGGCTTATAGGTATCTGGAGATAAAGTCTGGGGGTAAACTGGCCTTCCACATATGGGAGAGCTCCCATCGATGGCCACAGAGCTATGCGCATCAGCAGAGCTGCCTCCTGCCTGGCCTGAGCCGTACCCTGGAGGCCACCTCAGCACACCCCACGAGCATCCCCCCATCCTGCCACATTCCCTTCAAAGCCACAGGAGTTTATAAGAGAACATACACAGCATTTCTGGCTCCTAGCAGACAGACAGGGTGTCCAAGTCCACATCGTTGTTGCAATATCAAAAACCCACCAAGGAAAAAGACACTGTGGCATGACCACATCTCCCTCTGTGACCACAGCCTGCCAGCACAACTCGGGACCAAAATGGGGACAGATCAGTGCCCTGAACTCACTGCCACAAGAGAGGGGAGCAGATGAAGAACCTGCAGCTTTCAGAACTAATGCAAACCTCAGCTGTGTTGCTTTGCTGCTCCCCGGTACTGTCTCCCCATGCACACAAACACCCCTGCACCGCTCTCAACCGAAGAAGAGGGAAAGTCTGCTCCTCTTCTTAAAGCCAGCAACCATGTTAACACCTTCCTTAATCAAGGTTTTGGAAGTGCTGAAAGCTATTTCATAGTCAGAAAAATGAGTAATTGGGTCTGGCTGTTTTTTAAAGGGAAACATTTCATTCCCACACAGTGCCTGCTAAGTCAACTTATCAGCAACTTAGAAGTCAAGGTGTCTTACTTCAGTATTTCCTCTACTTACCCAGGCCTTCCACCATGCCATTGCAGTCTCAGTAGTGATACCTGGGTCTGTTGGTGAAGAAAACCAAACGTATCACACCTCATGGTTAGGGAAACAGAGATTTGAAGGGGGTGGAGGGAGAAGAGAAAGAAAGAAAAGTTCTTTTCAATAAACTTACCACAAGAAAATTGGAATAACTGTACTCCTCAGGAGGCTTATTCCCTCTAGAAGCTGCAGAACGTAACTGGCCTCTCTGTGCTGGGAACACGCAGGTATAAACCATCCATATCTACAAATTCCATGGGGCAACGCCCTCAGATGTGACTCAACCTGTTTTTTCACATATGATCTCACAGGGAGAGATCAAGTTGCTTAATAAACGAGGCTTCCCTTGTGAGGAGCCCTACATTCAACCCCGTTGACTAAAGCTCATTGTAATTTTTCCACTGCTTCTCCCCACACACACACCCTTCCCCACTAACATTTTGGCCTCTGGCATGAACACCACATGCAAATTACAACCAGGTAATTTCTCAGCATAAAACTCCATTGAGACTTGGTGAGTTCTGCTACAACAGAATAAGCCACTCATAATAACGACTATTTCTATCTCTACCTATCTGGAACACAGCAAAACAGGACTCCAGAAATTTAATAAACCCTCCTCTACCTCCCTTCCTTCAAAAAAGCTTTTTAAAAAAGCAAAAAACAAAAAACCAAAAAAACAACCCAAAACAAAAAACTAACAGCCACAGCCACACCCCACACCATACATGTCCTACATCGTAAAGCTCAATAAAACAGCAGACTGTGCAGAGACTCAGGAGGTCCCCCCATCCCATACCTAGACTTGCACGGCATCAGTCAAGAAGCATCTCTAGGCTAACGTAGGACCAGCACATTTAAGGCTAACAACTTTCAGTAATGCCAACCCCAGCAAAGTTGTCGTAAGCCTTGCACTAGCTGCTGTGACATGTTAAGGCTTAGGAGTAGAGTGTGAAATGTTATTTTTTTTTCCTTTTTGTGTTTGTTTTAAAAAGAGCTGAACAGCTCTTAATGCTTTAATTTGGAGAAATGTTTCTGTGAAATCAGCTGAAATATGTTATGGTTGTAGCAATATTTTCCTGTCTAGACTTTTGTCAGAATCCACCCGTGCCAGCATTTATTTATTTATTGTAAATGGAAAGCTGCCCTGATGGAAACGTTCCCACCAGTTATATCTTAACCCTTGCTATATAGGAGCTTTGTCTCCTCTCACATTTACAGACCCACATGGGATGCTGTGTAAACACCAAACTACCGAACGTCTCTTATTTCCTTCCCACACATTGCTATTTCACTTAACCCAGCAGGGTCCCCCATGGCCTGGGAAGCTGCCCTGGCTATTCCCAAAAGAACGAGCTGTGCCAGCTGCTCCTGCCTCAAACACATCCATCATATGGTGAGGGGAAGTTGTGAAGGAGGAGGCATTGCCATTGCTTGGCATAATAAGCATGCTGCTAGGGTCTGCACTGGCTTGGTTTCTAGCCACGTTTGAGAGGCAGGTTCATCAACAGCACACAGCAAGGAGAGTTCACGAGTGGTCCTTCGTTCCTCCTCCTCCTGAGGGTAAGGTGGATTCGCAGGCAGGGTGGATTTGCTTTTGCTGGATCCCAGGGTTGTGCCTGGCTGGCTACATATGCCTTTTCCCTGTGTTGGGATTTAACTGGGTAAGCTTGCCATGGAGGTCAGCTTCCTTGAGGACCCCAAGGACAAAGAAGCCCTTCTAGACAGAAAATCACACAGTCACAGCAAACAGCTGTAGGTCACAGAGGGGAGCAGAGACCAAACCAGACAGAAAATGGGAAAAAGCCCAAGTGGTCATTCTTGCCAGCATGAACTAAAAAGGCTGCGAAGGGACACAACAGGGGATTTTAATGCAGAGAAACACTGGCCAGATTTTAAGAAATCAATATGGATGAGCTAGGAAAGGTCTGGAGAACCTGAGCCCTGCAGCAAGGCTCAGAGCAGCACTGCACAGTCTTAATACAGACCAGAGCAGTCGGCACTCGCAGACCGGTGGAGCGGGAGGCAGACACTGCAGTCCAATATCTCTTTTGCTTGCGCAGATGCTGTTAAACTGAGCAGCTTTAAACATGAACAGCCTCATCTTCACTACATTTCTTGTCCCTCCCTTAACACACATGCTGTGTATGTGAGTGAGCATATCCGAGGTTCATGCACTTCACTACTGTGTACCAGAGAGACATATCTTTTACAGCACCAGTAAGCTATGTAAGGCACAACCTCACATATAGCTCAGTGATCACCCTCAGGAAGATGCAAAACTTCAGAAAAGGGGCAGAAGATGATGCACGGGTTCTCCCAGGCCTCACTGTCTCACACCCCCCATCCCACCCCGAGGCCATTTTTGCCTCTCAGGTAATACTCCTTTTTGGAAAGTGAACTCTAAATGTACTAACAAGACTGTCAGTAGAAACTCTGCCCAACATCATATTAAGGTGGTTAGAATCTGACTCAGACAATGATCCTGTTTGCTGGTACTGCGGCATCCCACAAAATACAGTCATCTCTCAGCTATCTGCAAGATGGTTACCTGGGCAGTGGGTCAACTGTGCTGTGGGTACAGACACCTGTAAAGTGTCTCCACCGTCAATCTGTCTCAAGCCTCATCCACAGGCCTCCTCTAGGCTTTCAGAGAGTCCCTGCTCCTGCCGATAGCCCGGCACAGCCATCAGCCAGCCAGGCTGAAACCCGGAGCAGTGGGCAGAAACCTCCAGCAGAAGCAGCACATGCACCATAATCAAGTTTGGTTTGTGAGTTTTTAAGCCATTTGGTCCAAATCAATTTTCAGCTAGACAAAATGAAGAAGCTACCAGGGTACTTCGCTTTTCTTGACTCTGCCCTTGGGACTTTCCAAGCTTGAACCAGTGACATTGGAGCTGCCCCTGATATATACTCAACCAGTGTAAGGAAAGTTATAAAAGAAATCACAAGCAGGATTTTGCTCAACCTTTTTCAAACCCCAAAAATATTTAAGGCATGAAATAAAGGTGCTGATAGCCTTAGAACAGCGCATTACTGGCATTGTTTCAAGAAGCTTTTACCACCCATTAAGCTCCGACTGCTCTGTTTTAGGTCCAATTAGAGCAGTCTAAAGGATATTCTGATTTAGATTGAGGGTGACTAAAGTCTTCTAGGGTACAGAGGCAGCCCCCTTTTCCATCTGCAGGTTTGTAAAGTCTGGCCCTGTGCCTGAAAAGTTTCAGGCCAAGAGCAGACTGCTTTGGAACATGAAAGCTTGTGGAAACAAAGTTCTCAACTGCTCAGCAACTTCACTTACTCCATGGCTTTCACTTCTATTAGAACTTTTTCAAGCCTAACAAGAACAGCACAGCCCGTTGGGAATTTCACCCCAAAGTTTGGGGATTTTTTGGGTTTTTTTCAGCCAGGCACTTGGAAATCAAGTGGAATCATTCTGGAAACAACAGACCAAACACACAGAGATACTTTTATGCAAAGCGATAATCTGATGAATCGTATAACATAACTACTTAAATTTGAGGAAATCAGAGCTCACCTCTCAGACCAAACAGGAAAGAGGTACTCTGTTACAAGGCTAAAAGCTTATTAACTTTCTCCAATCCAGACCATGTAGAACTGTAGCTCTAATGAGGAGACAGTTCAGCAAACTGCAGAATTTTCTTTTATACATAAAAGAAATCACCAAACTCATGCAGTACTATGCTTTCCAGGTCTGGACATACCCCCCCTTGCTTACAAGTCTTCTAGCTCTACACCCATTATTAACAACACTTTGCTCTACCTTCCAGTGACTTACACCACTCTCTTGCCCCAGCAGTTGCTGTGTTTGCAAACAGGCTTGCGCTCTCTCGCTGTGCAAACTACACTAGTTTCATCCTGCTGATTTTAAGCCACTGTGCAAAAAAGTCCAGAGACCAGGCATTACAACCTGCTTCTGCTGCTCCCTTTTTTTCCTTTTCTTCCTGTTTATCACTAGTTAAATGGATACAGCTGAATGCCTTCACAATTCTTTAGAGCAAATGCCCTTACATCTAGTAATCAGCTCACCATCACCTGAAATCAGATCATTATATGGGAGAGCTGTGTAAATTTGCCAGCAAGCCAATCCAAACAAAAAGTTGTTGTCTGTTTATGAAAGAGGTGTGAGCTGGGGAAAACTAGCAGATGGGGAAGGCAGCAGTTTTGAGTAAGGAGAGCATCTGCGATGCAAAAATAAAGTCACTAGAGCCTCAAAATCACATACCTGGCAGCTCAGTGCTCACCCTGCCCTTTCCTCTTGTGCCTTTGAACCATCTTTCACAGTGAAAATGACCCCAAAATAGGATTATTTCCATTTGAAAATCACTACCACACTTAATTTTCCAAGTTTCCTTTATTACCGCAAGCAGCTTTGTGCCAAGTACCGTAAGAGAAAATCCCTGTCTATATATGTTGTGGGGGGTGTTCAGTCACAGAAGCAGCCATAGAGTAAAAACTCAGGGCTTGATTCCCCTCAGCACCTTCATAGCTCAGGCGGACGAGCCCTGGGGTCAGCGGGGACAGCAGGGGACTCTGCACAGAGGTTTGCACAGGTTAGTGAAGGGTGTGTTGACTTCGCCTCTCCAGAGCACCTTTACTGCACAGGGCCCCTCTGCTGCCGGTGGGAGAGCCAGGGTGAGGCACTAACACAAACACAGCAGAGCACGTCCCCTTGGCTTGCTCCGGCTCTGCTCTGCTTCTGGCTGACTCTGGCTGAGCATTTTTCTGCTCATTCCTTTCTTGTGCTAGCACTGGTGCCAAGGAATTCCTCCCAGTCGCCCTAACAACCGTTCTGCACACAGAGCAGGCAATTGCTGCTCTCGTTTAACCCCAAAGGCCAACAAAGAAAGCACCATCTGAATAAAAATGGGCAAAGGCAGCTCACATGTCTGATGGGGACATGACAGATGTCAGGAGTTCACATGCCAGTAGCGGGTGGTAGGCAGCATTTGAGAAGCCTTTGGATGCTTACATGTGAAATATTTTGTGCAT